ATAATAAATTACTTATCAGGTTACTATAATAAATTACTAAAGGAAATAAAATAGAAATTAAAACTAACAGACGAACAAAAGCAGCAAGCAATCCGAAAAAAAGTAAGAGTTTGTTAACTGAGGCGCTTTTACAATTTCCCTTTAAACTACTTGATAGAGCCTTATTGTTAAAACTCCGTTAGCGTCAGTTCACAACTCTCAAATCGTTTCCAGTCAGTCTGGAGGAAAAGCAACAACCAAGCTCGATAGTTTTCCCTCGCAGATCCCAGCAATCTTGCTTGGTTCTTGCATAAAATTCCCCTTTTCCATCCTTGCCCATGCAATGGCTATGAACATTACTACTCTTCCATCGATTGCTACGTTAGTATCACGCTCATTTTTAGGATTTTTCTTTCATTAGATTCTTACGTAACTAACACGGCTTCTCTTTTATTGGATTGTCACTATAGTATCTCCCACACTTTTAGCTTTCTCTTCCATTCGATCATTAAGTTTGCATCTGGCACACTTAGATTTTTTCTTTCAATCGACTGATACGTCGGTAACTTTCTCTGGATTGTTAAGTTAGTATCTCAAGCACTTTTAGGATTCTCTTTCATTCTATTGTTAATTTAACATCTCGTCGAGCTTCAATATCATTTGAGTGTTACACTAGTAATGATCCCGTGCACTTTAAGGATTTTCCTTCAATGAATTGACGCATTAGTATTTCACGGACTTCTAGGATTCTCTTTCAATGGATTGTAATATTAGTATCCTACGCACTTTTAGGATTCTCTTTCATTGGATTATTACATTAGTAACTCACACACTCGAAGGGTTCTCTTTCATTTGATTGTTACATAACTATCTAATGCACTTTTAGGATTCTCTTTCAACGGATTTTTTACATATTAGTTTCTCATGCACCATTTGAATTGTTAATATAGTGTCTCACGCATTTTTAGGATTCTCTTTCATTCTATTGTTTCTTCAGTATTTCACACACTTTCAGGGTCCTCTTCCATCGAATGGTTATTTTACAATGGGAGGGGGCGTCTCCAAAGTCGAGACATCACTGCTATTATGACGTCACGCACGCATTCAGCGATTTTCAATATGGCGGGTAAATTTGTAATTCACTATCTTTTACGAAATTTGGAATTTTCAACGATTTGGATGGTTGATTACTTAATCTTGAGATATTTGAGGTTCAGTCCTTATGAAAGATTAATTTTACGTAGTTTGAGTGGGGATAACGTGTTCAAGAACTTCATATTTCGAATGAAAACACACTAAAGCTGTACTTAGCGGCTTGTTCGTCAACTGAAAATGTTCGGTTAGTAATGTTTTCCTAGAGCTCTCGAAGTGATTCGGAAATGTCCTGATCCCAAAATAGGACGCTTGACAGGTAGCATATTACGCTTGCTTTTTGCAGAGTGACAAGCCTTTAGTGAGCATGGTTCGTCTCATCAATGCCCTTAAGTCCTTCTTCAGGCTAAAGAGGCACGTGGAGAAGACAAATCAACGGTGATGGTTGTCATCAGCGATCACAGCGTTATATTTTCGATATATTTTTTAGCTCTTTTGCAAGAGTAGCATTTAATAGATTTAAATTGGTTTCAGGTTAATAAATATTGTCATTCAGCACTTTATACCTTGGAGAAAGTCAACATTGTAATTGCTTTCGAATTCACAAATTTTGTTCTGTAGTTACTGTGTTGTTTTGGATCTCAAAACAGACGCTATGTTTCTCTTGTCTATTGTACATAATTCTCTGACAATGTGCATGCAGCTTTTTGTTTCAAATCTGTGGCTGAGCCCTGACAACACAGAGACTACTGTTGAGACTGATTTAAAGAGATGCAACTACCCTTCATGAATTTTATCTCCGGCCGTGAGGATGATTGTAGGTATATTTCTAATTTTATCTGGTCAGGACAATTAAAGAACTTGAAAAAGATTTCTTGCATTTTTTTTCTTTTCAGGGGAACTTTGCAGGTAAGGCAATACTCAATGTTATACTCTGAGGATGTCGCAATGCAAGAGGTTGTCCTCAGAAAACCTTGCTGAGCATCACTACATGACCTCAAAGAACTTCTCCCCTTTGCAGGATTATGTCCCTTGGTACACTGCCATAATGTTAATCGCATACTCTTAGATTCTTTAGAATTTCAAAAGCAATCAAGTCATGAAGTCTATATTTCATTTCATGCTGTAACTTTTTTGAGACCCTGACTAATTTCCACATCCCTTGAAACAGCACTGTAGACCTCTAACCAACCTTGAAGGAGAAAAGGCCCTCTCCACTAAAACATGTTTACTCACCGTTCAGTTTAACTGCTCTTTAATAAGCAGGTGAAGAAGAAGGAAATCCCTAAGGAAAAGAAAAACGACTTTATAAAAACGTAAGAAAAAGCTTTACATTGACGCAAATTAAGACACACTGCTAAAAAGGTCTGAAACATGATATAATAAAGGGCGGCGTAATTCACTTAAAAGTGTGAAAAATAATGTTATAGAAATGATACGTGGATAACAAAAAGATTAAATGAAATTAGTACGTGCGGAAGTATAAGACAAGTAAAAAAAAAACATCCCATGCAAAGTCTCGGTTTCAGCGCGGCTATCCTAGTTTGACCTTCGCGCGGATTATGCATGCAAATGAAAAGGTGTTCGCTCCAGTTGACCTATAATCACAAGTACGTTCTTAAAGCGGTTTCGCCATAATCTCAAATCGTGAGATAAATGACCACTTGAATCGAGTGTCTCGTATTTTCTGTTTCATTCGTATTTCCCAGGCATATTATTTCTAATGTTGTAATTATTTTTTCCGTTCTTAATGTATTATGTTTGTAACATATATGTTTGAAACCAGTGGCAAAGACATGTAATGATGTAAATTTGAGAGTTTCGAGTCGTCAAGAATTAAAGTCGTCCTAAAATTATTGCTGGTGCGTTGGTTATACTTGCTATCAGCAGTTATAACTGCACTAGCGAAAATAATTTAAACAGATCAGAGGAGCTCACAGAGTGCTTATGACACAAGATCTACGAGCCAAAAAGATGAAGCGATGGTTTTCGGCAATCAAAAGTTTAAAACAAAAAGCAGCAAGCTAAACTAAAAGCAAATCAAGAAAATTTGGCTCTCACCAAGTATCTACAACACGAGAACACGAGCTAATGAAAAAAAATACACACACTTGGCTCGTCAAGTTCAAAACAGTTCGATGAAGTGACTAAAACTTAAAAGGTTAATGAGCAAAATGACCGATTTGATTGACTCCAAATAACATAAGGCATAACCTTATATTAATAAGGAAAAAAAAACACCTTCTTTTATGAGGTCGATCTGATCAGATCTTGCAAAGAAAACGATATTAAAATTGGTTTGTTTTGATACTTTCCAAAGTCAACATGGCGGTCAGCATTTGCCCAGAATTTTAATCAATGAAATTATTTATTGCAGTTCAACTACAATACACAACATCATCATTAGGATAGTCTACAAAAGAGTCATGGACCCCATACAAAGGCAGACCTCCTAAAAGAAAAAAATAACAATAATCTATAATATATATATAAAAAGCGTCCAATAAGAAATAAATAACAATCATCCAAACTGAAATAGAGTGCATGAATGAAGGATTAAAAATTCAGTCATATCTTGATGGCAAGAAGTCCCTTGCACTCTTGGTAAAGCTGGAAATTTTAGATGCCTGACGTATTGATAATGATAATTTATTCCACATATCCACAATCGTATTAAAAAAACTGCTTTTAAAAGTAGTAGTTCTAACAAAGTTCTTCTTCAGTGTAATTTCATCCCTATAAGCAATCACCTTCAGAAATTAGTACACATTTAAATACACAGACAAAATATACAACAAACCGCACACACAGACGGCAAATTAACTAGTGATAAAGAAGTTTAGCTTTCATTGACCTTCTCTTTGTTAGCTTCTAATTGTGTCCTTCGCTAGATTGAGCACAACAAGCGAAGCGCTTCCAATGTTGCTGCGTGACGTGTTACTGGCGGTGTTCATTCGATGCCAATGGAGTCACCCCTTCCATCCCGACTCAAAGTAAAACCGATCAAATTGCCCATAGCTCTGGAAAATACGGGCGACCAGGTTGAGGCGCCGCCCTGTAGCTAAAATACAGTAAAACACAAGAAATCTAAGTTACAACAAGTAATTTAT